GGATTGAAGGAATCAAGAACAGAAGCCATTCTAAAGTCCCGTTACACCGACTGAAGGTTGGGACAATCATATCCAAAGTATTCCAGACTCTTCTATAAAAGAACAAGACTGAAATACTTTGGAGGGGGTATCTGTAGACGTGTAAAATTGCTTATAGGACCTTTAGCACAGCTCAGCACAAACCGACGAACCAACGAGGCGATAAGGTTAACGAATCGCACGCAAACAACGGAATAAATCCACTCGCGTGCAGAATCAAGCCAAGGGTTCAAAGAGTCAACGAGTCATCCAACCAAGGGCAGACTCGGACGAATCACGATCGAATCAAGATCAGTTTCGGACTCGAACTCAGAATCGGATTTACTGCCTAATCAGGATCCGGATTTACTGCCAAATCAGGTCAACGAGTCAAGTCCGGATAAATCAACCACAGAACCGGATCACGGACAGAACCGAAAATCCCCTTGGTTCATTTTAAAAGGTGGGATTTTTTGGAGGCGAAGCTCTGCTGGATTCAAGACTCAGATCTAAAAAAGATCCAAGCTTTGGGACTTCGAGGACTTGTTCTTCCAGATCTGGTGCTCGGCGATCGTCAACGCCAAATAAGGCAAGAGTTCGAGAGGACCGGATCTCAGATCTACGCAGGCGTACTCCGGATCAAAGCTTGGTCTTTGATCCCGAGAATTAAAGGCTACTATTTCCTTGGCGAAATAGTACCCTCGGCTATTATTTCCTTGGCGAAATAATACCCGTCGTACTGCGTAGATCCGACCGAATCTAGATCTCGCGGTGGTCCACGGATAAACCCCAGCGCAGGCAAACAACCCACAAAGCGAGCGACCGCAAAACAGGAGCTCGCGATTTGTTCGACAAAAGAGAAAAGTTATAATTTTTATTTCCTTTTTTGATCTCGTTGTAACCGGATCTTATAAAAAGACCGGATCTTTTGTAACCAAAAAGCAATTACTTGAGATAGCAATGGAATCAATGAAGGACACGATTTTTCCCGCGAACAGTGATGATCACGACCAAAACCCTAGCTCAGATCTAGGGTTTCTAACGGAGGGGAAGAGAGGACACAATAGAGAGAGAGAGAGAGAGAGAGAGAGAGAGAGAGAGAGAGAGAGAGGAGGGGAGAAGAGAGAGAGAGAGAGAGAGAGAGAGAGAGAGAGAGAGAGAGTAGAGGAGAGGAGATGAGGACGAGACTACCTACGATGGAGAGAGATCGAGATCGAGATTTTGAGGAGTCGGGACTTTGACACGAGTGTGAGAGAGGAAAAATAGAGGAGTCGAGGTTATGAGGGGTTGGGATTTTGTGGGGTGGGGATTTGACAAATACCAACTCCTGTAGTGAAATTTGAAATTCATAGTTTTGGGCTTTTCAAATTCACTCTATAAAATGACTTGATTTATAATTATAGTTCAAAGTTGAGCCCAAACATGATATTTAGATTTGAAATGCCCAGAATTTCAAATCCAAGCCCAAATCAACATTCTCAAACACAACCTTGCTAATTTCTTAATCTTCATAAGATTTAATTCTCAACTACTTATTAAACTTTAATTTATTTAGCTGGAGCCAAGAGCTAATATTTTGTCTATATATGATTTAATGCTCAACTACTTATTAAACACTTCAAGTAGTTATTTAAATTTTGTTTAAAAAATGCTTGTTAATTGAGTTCAATCCATGAAACATTTGGAGAAATTTTTTAGGGGAAATTACTTCTGGCCCCCAATTTCCTTACCAAGTATTTCGCCCACCCCCAAGACTTTTTCCACACTCCCAAAACCCCCAAAAGCAAAGTCACAATTCTCTAAACCCCAAAACACAAATCCCAAGAGTTTAAAACATGTGAAGACCATAATACTCTCTCTCTCTCTCTCTCTCTCTCTCTCTCTCTCTCTCTCTCTTCATAATGTTACTGTGATGATTTCCAACGGCGTCGACATCAGTGATAAAACTTTCCCGGCGTTCATTCATGAGGCGAAGAAAACTGTGATCTTGGAGACGGTGATGACGAGTTGCGATGGATTTAGCATCGTTGTCCTGAAGGAAAAGGCGAGAACTCCGGCCACTCCCGGTATAATTTTTTCTCTTTTTTAACTTGTACTTGAATCTGAGTGCTATATTTTTTATTATTTTACATATTGTTGTAATTTTTTTGAAATCGATGACTTGAGATTAAAGTAGAATCTGTAAATTTATATATTGTTGTTATTTCACTATAATGATTTTGTTGTTAAGTTCATGAGTTGGTTGTGAAGGAAGGTTACATGTTGGTTTTGAGGGTTAGGAGTTGGTTGTAACGTTTACGAGTTGGTTGTGAAGCTTATGAGTTGATTGTCAAGGTTACGAATTGGTTGTGAAAGTTATGAGTTTGTTGTGACGGCTACTGGTTGTTTGTGAATGTTACAAGTTGGCTGTGAATCTCGGTAAGGAGTTAGTTGTGAAGGTTAGTTAACAACAATCATAATCAACTCATTACCGAGGTTCACAACCAACTCATAACATTCACAAATAACTCGTAACCTTCACAACAAACTTATAACATTCACAACCAACACGTAACCTTCGCAATCAACTTGTAACCTTCACAACCAACTCGTAAACTTCACAACCAACTCGTAAACTTTACAACCAACTCATAACATTGATAACCAACTCGTAACATTCACAACTAACTCGTAACCTTCATAACCAACTCCTTACCGAGGTTCACAACCAATGCTTAATCTTCACAACCAACTCGTAACATTCACAACCAACTCCTAACCTTGACAACCAATTCGTAACCTTCACAGCCAACTCCTAATCTTGACAACCAACTCGTAACCTTGACAACCAACTCGTAAACTTCACAATTAACTCGTAACCTTCAAAACCAACACATAACCTTCCTTCACAACCAACTCATAACCTTAACATCAAACTCATTACAGTAAAATAATAATAATAATATATAAATTTATAAACTCTAATTAATCTCAAGTCATCGATTTTAAAAAAAGTATAACAATATATAAAATAACAAAAAATATAGCACTCAGATTCAAGTATAAGTTAAAAAAGGGAAAAAATTACACCGCCGGAGTTCCCGTCTTTTTCTTCATAACGGCGACACTGAATCAATCGCAACTCGTCATCACCATTGGAAAATTTTGGAGGGAACTATAATCCCTCCCCCCAAAACCCATTTCAAATCATCACAATGATATCATGAAGAGAGAGAGAGAGAGAGAGAGAGAGAGAGAGAGAGAGAGAGAGAGAGAGAGAGAGAGAGAGAGAGAGAGAGGATATTATGATCTTTAAATGTTTTAAACTCTTGGGTTTTGTGTTTTGAGGGCTTAAAGAATTGTGGCTTTGCTTTTGGGGGTTTTGAGAGTGTTGAAAAAAGTCTTGGGGGTGGGCGGAATACTTGTAAGGAAATTGGAGGCCATAAGCAATTTTCACTTCTTTCATAATGTAAACCACCCACATTTTATATTGAATCAGATTCTAAAATAATTCTTTGAAAGCTATACATGGCCTATGGAGAAATTGGATCAATTTTGATATTTTGTACAAGACTCCATAAGTGTAAGCGACAGATATTTTCCATGAATATTTAGTCAATTTACGTCTATTTGTATATGTCAGGGGGAAAGAGGTCGATCGAGAAAGATCTCTTGTTCTTATTAGATTAGAATATCACAATTTGATCCTCATATGTTTGGTAAAAAATAATAATCTTCTCCTTTGATCTTAAATGGAAAGTCTTCAATTGGAACATGAAAAGCGAATGAATTGGTCTTAGTTACTCTTCAAGAGCAATCCCCCAGTTGAATAGGGGGATCGAATTGACTATAGAAACATGAGTTTAATTAGTCAATCTATTAGTGAATAAGGAAAAAAATAATATCTAGATGGGTGAATAGATTGACCTTGAAACAACAATGATTAATTACTATTGCTATAAAACAAACCCCTATTTTTATCTTTGTTACCTTCCATCTACTATTATCTAAAAATAATCAAGTTAATAATGATGGGACAAAACCAAGAAATAACCCCTCATGTGCGAAATTATAGAAGATCTCCTTTAAGATCAAACAATTTCATCGAATGGAGTATGATTGTACGTGTGATATCATCTACAAAAAATTTAGGTTAGCCTAGTAAATCTGAAACAAATTTATTTTGAGGTCTAAAAAATAGAGTTTTAAGAAAAATAGTTTCCGTGAAATTTATATATTAACTCACACTTCTGTAGAAAAACTAATATTTAGTTCAAACAACAATAAAGAATATTTATAAGTATTAAAAAAATTACCTTTTAACCCACACAGTCTCCAGTAACTTTATTTTTAGTCCAAAATTTTATAAATTCAAGAAAATTTGACTTTGAAGACCTTTAAAATAAAAAAATCACCCTGGAATTTTAGATTTAGGGAATTTCATTTATCCTTAAGTTTCGCAAAATTGACTTTGAAGTCCAAAATATAAAGTTTTATAAAATAACATTTTTGGAGAAGTTTATAGTTTAATCCATAATTTTTAGAAAAATAAATATTTAGTCTAATTACTCTTAAAAAGAAAGATTAGTACTAAATAAATTTATTTTGAAGACAAAAGTTTTATAAACTCCGCCTTATAACGAATAACTCTAGATTGACATGTAAATGAAACACGAATAATGGACACGTATAACGCACATGCACCATACTAGTCAACTTAAAAAGGTTGAAATTACTTATGTGACATCAAAATAAATAATGCTTCTTCCATGTAGTAATCTACTTAATATAGGTGATGGATTACTTCCAATTTGATACCGTACATAATTGATATTTCTGATCCTGACCACATTATTTCTCCTTATCATCCTATTGTTTTAAGGGGAAGACCCTGATATTGTAACAAATAGTAAGAATCAGGCCATAATGGACGCGCGACAAGACTCCACCAAAAGCCCAGCCCACTTATCCTTTACATACACGAAAGACTAACAGAGGCCGACAAAAAACAAGCATCACAGTCCGAAATCGTTGCCATCTCTCGAGTCTCGTATTCAACTCCTCTTTCCTAAATTTCTCTGTCATCACTCATCACCGATCTCAGAACTCCCAAATAATTAATTAAAAAATCTCAAGCTCACGAATCGATGAGGCGGGAGTGAGATGCGACGAGATCCATCGGGGCTTCCTTCGTTCTCCGGCGGCGGAGGTGGAAGCGGCGGCGACGGTCGATCGATCGACGATTTCGAGGTTTCTCCAGGGCCGCTGCTATTCTTGCCGCTGCTCTTGCTCCAAGGAGGCGGCATGGATCTCACTAGGGTTGGGGAGAAGATCCTCAGCTCTGTTCGTTCTGCTAGATCTCTTGGATTGTTGCCAGCACCGCTGGCTTCTGATCGGCCTGAGGTTAGTTGATCGATCTCGGGTTTTAGACTAAAGTTATTTAGAATTTAGTTACAGGGAATTAAGGACGACGATCACTTTATTCGTTTTGAGAATATGTTGGCAAAATGGAGTTTTTGTTGCAAAATTTTGTTATTTTGTGTGAGGGGCGATTTATATGAAATGCGGAGGAAAAAAGTAGTTTCCTTTGGATTTTTCGCTTCAAATTTTGTAAAGAATTTGACCAAGAATTACAACATAACTGCTATTTTGATAGGAGGCTGAGTTCACTGCAGGCCAACTGGTGGAAACTATTACAATGCACCAAGAAGTACTTTGGCACATCATGTGTATAAGAAAAGAAGAATGCATTTCTTTCATGTAGAAGTAATTACATTGTTTTTCTCACTGAATTGGCAAGATGTTTACACAAAGTCTTGATGTTTTAAGGACATGCAGTTATTCAAATATCCGATAACCATTGTTATATATCAGATTATTAAGCTTGAAGATCCCTTTAGGGGTAAGAAATGTTTTTTTCTGTCTCATAATTGACTAGTATTCTATCTACAATGAATATTCTATCTATAAAAGTAGCGTATAATTGGTGAATTTCAAATTATTCAGTTGCTTATGTTTCAAAACAAATGAGAGTCCCAAACACTCTAACTTGCAGGGTAGGATTTTCTAAAACCAAAGTTGTCAAATTGTGATGTGAATTGTGTATCATATTCTATAGTGTATCATGAAATGAACTAATCAGTATGCAATAGCTATGTAATTAATCTATGGATAATTTTAAAATGTAGAGAATTGACAACCAAGGGAAAATGCTGAAAGCGTGTAAAGCTGAATGACTGTAGGGTCATTTATTAAAATGAAAACCACATATTTAAACATACAAAACATAAACATTATTAGTTTTGTCAAGGATAATTTCCTAAACCTAATACATAACCCCTTGTCAAAATAGTATACAATCCAATTAAATCAGTTGCTACATCATATGGAGATTGATGAGTGTTATAGTGAGTAGCAGCAGTAAATAATAGGGTTAATTTCAGAGACCCATTAACTTTGGGGCCAGATTACCCCCCGAACTATTTTGGTTCCACGAACCTTATTGAACCTCAAGGGGTTTTGCACATAACCCCCTAAACTTCTTTTATTCCACCAAACCCTTTGAAAGGTTGTTCAATTTAACCCCCAAAGTGACACCATCAGATCTAACGTGTCATGTGCCGAGCATCAGCACATGATTAGAAACACGGAAAATACACTTCAGGCCCTCAAACATTCAATGAAAATAATAAAATGCATAAAAGGGTGATTTTTTGAGGGTTGATGGATATTTTCGTCTTTTTTGGTCATGCTAAGGGGCGTGACATGTTAGTCTTGCAGTGTTACTTTGGGGGTAAGTGAAAAAATCTCTAGGGTCTAGTGTAATAAAAGAAGTTCAACGGGTTATGTGCAAAAGCCCCAAAATTAAGGGTTTTATTTGAAATTAACCTAAACAGTTATTAGAAGGACTGAAACAGAGGCTAAAAGAGACATGTATGAGGGGGTATAAAAGGACATTTTAATTGCTATTGTAAGGGAGAAGGCCCATATCTAAAACTCAGAAAAAGAATTTGATTTACCTGATAATAAATTAGATGTAGATGTTTTCTTATTGTTATTGTTGTGTTATAAGAGAACATGATGTTCTATGAATCTATGTAGTGTGTGCGTGCGCAATTGACACTTTTCTTATCAGCATAATTCTTCAGCTCAAGTTTGTTGAACTTTTGCCTTTCCATCATTACTTTGCATCTAAATTTTCTCTTGTTGCAATTCCATATTGTGTTCTGCAATATTTACCTGAAGATGTTCTATTCATGTTCTTATGTCATAGCTCAGGGTTGCAGTTTAGCAAGTGGCATTTCGTGAATAGTTTCAGTAAATTCTGAATTCTCCACAGTAAATTTGTTCAAATTCAACACATTATTTTTTACTCCTAGTTGCTTCATTCTCATGTTTATTATTTAGAACCTTCTACTTGTCTAGTGTAACTCCATCTCCTATGTTAAATTTTCTGATCATTGGTTGCATCTTTTCTTTGCAAATGGATTTCACTGTATATTTTTTTGCAGCCAGTACTACTAAGTACTCATTATTTAATTGTGAGTGCTGGGGTTTGGTATGGATATGTTGTGTCTGAACATGTTCCTGGTTGTTGCTGCAGGTGCCAGCTCGTGCAGCAGCTGCAGCTGCTGTTGCTCGAGCTTTAGCTGGAATGCCTCCACATCAAAGACTTGCCCTTCCATCAAATTCAGAAGAAATGGTCTCAATTTATGGAACCAGGTCGCAAGATCACGTCATAGAAGAACTGGAGGAAAATTTCTATGAAGAGGTTTCTGCTATTCTGAACTGATCATTGTTATCTTGATCCTAAATTTTCTTTCAAGGTTTATGTGTTGGCAGTCATTTTTTTGTTTGAAATTAAATTATATAAATTATTGTGTTTTGGACTTAATAACCTTACACAGACAATGTCCCTGGCAAACATTTGTTATGCTTGTTTCAGAGCTAAAAGATATCACTTGGTTTAGGGAGTCTGACTACCCTATTAAGCACAAAAAGCATTTATCTTATATATTCTCTGTGAAGAGAAGCATGCTGAATGTAGTATAATAACAAAACAAGAAGAGACACAGCAGCAGAAGTAATAACTAAAAGTTATTTGTCCAAACTAGTAAAGGTGCAGTATATAGTTAAATGACATGGTAATATTGCTACTAAACCTTCAAGTTCCAAGGATATAGTAGTCTTTGAAAACCATAGGAATGTGTACACATATTCTTTCTGGTTTCCAAACATTAAAATATGAAAATGTACTCCTCACACCTGAAGCTCTGGTGTTTTAGTGCACTAACAGGGAAATTAACATGTATTAAATCTATCTAGGTCCGAATTAGTCAAGTGTCGTTTAAAGAAGATTGAAGAAAAGGATATCAGTGTATAAAAGCCCAGATTTCAGGCCAAATGATTCCCAACGTGCAGCTATAAGAATTAAAATATAAAATAAAAAAACTTTCAATAAACTATCAGAGTTTTGGTGCTGTGTGAGGGATCTTAAGACCAAGAAGGTCATACATTAGTTCAGAACTCAAAGGGCGTAGGAGGTATAGAGTGACAATGTCTCTATTTTTGTTCATAACTTGTTTTTTAAATTTCTTTTTCAGGATTTTGATCCAGTCAAATACATTTTGGAGAATATTCCATCTGAAGAAGCTGATGCTTTCTATTTTGAAGAGAAGGTTTGCACCCTGACATATCAAACTTTAACACCTTTAACGTTGTTATTCTTTTTCCTCTTTGTTGCTTTGTCTGTCATTAATTTGTGTCACAGATTCACAGCTATAATGCTGGTTAATACCATGTAACATTTCTGTTACCTACTTCAATTCTTAGTTACATCTTGTTGCTTTACTATCATTATCCCTTCTTATATTTCATGCACTTCCACTGGAAGGAAGGACGTGATTTTTATGGTTAAAAACATTAACTTGAGTTGAAATATAAATAGATATAGAATTCTAATAAACTCCAGATTTTTGTTGGTAAACATATTTTCTTACAAAATGTGTTGTGTTTTCATCATCAGGTTGTTGAATATAAGAGTTATTACAGATTGCTTCTTGATACACATTCATCTGTTTTTATGTTTCACAGGCAACTCTTCGGTTACTACAGTTGGATAGAATAACAGAACGTCTGTCCCGACATGTGATGGAGCACCATGAAGAAATGGGTATCCTTATGTTTTTCCAAACTACAAATGTTTTATTAGCTGTTTGTCACTTATTTCAAGCTTGTAAAAGCAAAGCTAAAGTTATGAACAGCTGATATATGCTACTACTTGAATTTTATTAAAGTTATGAACAACTGATGTATGCTACTACTTGAATTTCCTTCATTCCAACTGTGCAAAACTATCCTTTTGAAGGCCATTATGTCGCGGCATTTAATTAAATCTCATGTTGTAATGTGAGGAATCACTTCCATGGCCATAAGCAATGATGATAATTATTCTACATTTCACCTCTGTGATTTTTTCATCTCTAAGCAAATAATAGTTTCCCCTGTACAAAGTAGATTCAGTTCCTTACTTGAAGTAGTGACCTAAGCAAGGAAAATACTACTCCCATTTCCTTCCTTCCCATTCGCTTGTGCTCAAAACGTGAATCAGCTAATTGGCAGCAAACACAGTCTCCAGTAGCAGGATATTTTGGCTTACTATAAATGCATTTATGGCTCCAATAGTCTGCCAGTTTCAGTGGAAACCATTCCTGAGAAATCCAACATGCTTAAACCAGGAGTGAATTTGGACTATGAAGTTGGGGTATAGGTGGTTTTTACTTATTTATTCGACTTTCTGTGAAACCAAGTTGTCATTATAAATACTTGAAAACCTAATTTGGTCAATTGAAGGTTGTCTAAAGTCTGTTTACTTTTTACCTCTTCTTACCTGTATACATGCTTCTTTGCTGCACCATGATTCTTAGATGTTGGTAACATTATTACAAAAGTTTTTGAGCCAATTATTTATTAATGAGTTCTGGCTCAATGGCATAGCAGGGTTGGGTTATGCAGGTCATAGATTCAAGTCTGAGTTACAGTCTTTGTTAGGGGAAAAAACTAGCTGATGAGGATCCTTTTTCAACTTAATTGCTGTCAGCCTTGTTCATGGAGGGTAGCTGTTATCTTCTCCAAGTGCATATGTTACACTTGAAATATAATGTGGCAAAAGACTTTTTGTTGCATCCTGCAAAATTTGTGTTTCTTTCTTACAATGTTTGCTTCATGTGCAAGTTTTTTGAGAATATTATTAGATTTAGCTAGCCAAGTTTAGGTGAAGGGCGAGTACTTTTAGGCAGTTCCTTCTTTTTCTTAAAGGGGAATTGCATTGCTTGTGTTTAAATCTTTTGAGTCTTAGTAGTCTTATCACCAAAGTTAATTTGAAATCAAGTGTGATATATCTATTGTTACTTTAGGTGGGATTGCTATTTTTGTGACGACCCAGTATTTTCTTGAAGCTTTCCTTGATTGAACTTCATGGTTAATTAAGCCGTCTTTGAATCTTTCATCTATAAACTCAGAATAAGTAATTCACTCATGAATTGTGTTCTTTTACTTGTCTTATATTCTTTGTTTGCCTAAGGCTGGAGTCGCAAATGTTTCGTGTTGTTTCATGTTTGATTTTTCATTTTTAAGTCATCTTGTCGCTCCATTGATTTTGAAATCAATGTCTTAAGAGAAATGCTTCTTTTACATACCTAAGCCAGTATCCTGGTTTTAGTATTTCTTTATGTCGAAATTGTATTAAACTGGGTAAAGCATAAATGTGTTCATTGACATTGTGATTACTCTTTAATTTATTTTCATTATATTATCAGTGAAGGGGATGCAATTAGTGATGGAACTGGAGCAAGACTTAAAAGTTGCAAATGTCATTTGCAGGGTAAGGCTAGGGAATGTAACATCATGTGTACAATAAAAAATTATGGATGGACACATTGACATACACTTCAATAAATAAAGGATTAATGGTGGATAGACCTCCTGTCTATAGTCTAATCGCTGACAGACCCACTGTAGCTCTATCAATGCGGATATACCCCTTGAGTGAACATTTTGACTGTTTTAAGAAGAAGAGGCAGGAAAAAAACTCAATTGGGGAGTCTATTCACACATGGCAATAGTATAGGGGGTCTAGACGCACCAATAGAACTACAATGGTTTATCTGCAATAGGACGATAGTACAGGGGGTCTATCTGCAATTAGCTTATAAATAAAAGTAACTAGGTTGCATGGATTCCACCCGACTGCATTTTCTTTCTTAGTCTTGTTGGATTTGTGTTTTTGAACAATCTTCTTATTCATTGGCTATGCTAAAATTTACAGAATGGGCGAAGACACATATCTTCTTCTATGCACGAGGTGTCACGGGATCTGGTTGTCCATTCAAATTCAAAAAAGAAACAAGCTTTATTGGTAAGTTTTCTTCTCAAACAAATGCTATGATTTATCAAATTAGAAGTTATAAGACTTTTAGAAGTTATTGCATGGGAAATAATATTTCTCCAGTCTCATGATCTCAATCTTACACTAATTTCATTTTGACCTACTTGAACATTGATTCTTTCTTTTTTCCAAAATCCTATTGGTAGCCTCATGATCAGTTCTACTTTTCTCTTTTTAAATTACCTCTAGTTTACATCAAGATTTCTCCTATGATCCTATCTTTCGTTCACATTTGTTCATCCTCCACCAATTTGAATATTTTTCTTACCCGTCCAAAAAATATGAGAAGTTCTTTAATCTCTTTTCTCCTTAGACTTGTGTGTGCTGCTTTGTTCTCGATACTTTGACGCTTCCTTTGTACCTGTGGATTTCTCTTGCGATCCAGAAAGATTTGACACTGAGTCATTCTTATTAAAGTCTACGGTTTGCTAATCATATAAATAACCTGTTCCGTAAAAGTTTGATTACATCATTTAAAGACTCTAAAAGCAAAAAATTAAGCACTTAAAAGATTCTTATACCCATGTAGTGACTAGTGAGCGAGCACATACGAGCAGTCAAAATTATCATGCTGCTGAAGTGCTTAATCTATGGTTTTTCATACTAATTTCCAATCAAACCACTTTATCAATGTAAGCACTAAAGATCTCTTATGCACCAACTTTTGTTAGGTCCTATGCATCACTAATTTATAAATGAGTGTTTTGAAATTAGCAATTTGAACCATTGATCCTGATGTGAATAGTTTAAAACCCTCTTGGTACTGAATATTGTTGTGTTTAAAATGTTTTAAACCATAAAACTAGCCATTATTACAAACCATCCATTTGGATTCCTTAGGGATTCAAAAGGAACTCAAAAAAACATTTGATAGTGTTAGTGTGTCTTCTATTTGCAATAGGGTGATGGAGCTGATCAGGACTTATTGACAAGTATTTCCTACTAGAAAGATATAAAAGCGCGCGTAGAAGGAGATGGAGAAGGGTGTACCAAGTTACCTTGAATTCTTAATTTAGCTTAGGATTTAAAAGGATTCGACTTAATTTGCTTTCCAATTAGAATTCAGTTAGAATAGGAATTAGGCAGACGTATGCTTAAGAGTATTATAAATAACCTGTTTCAACTTTGTAGCAAAGAACTTGGTTTCTTTAGGTGAATTATTATTTGAAATTTGGCTAAGGTTCAACTGTACAACTAGAGGGATTAGTAACTTAGAGTGAGATCCAATTTAATCCAAGAGGAAAAATCACCTAATAGAGTCTTGACTTGAGTCTTATTTAAACATGAACACGTTCCTCTCCCTTGTCGTCTCCCAACTGGATGCGGAACTAATATCACTTGTCCCATGCCTCATTTTCTTTTAAATCAAACTCCTCAATTTACTCTAACCAGTTTTTAGTTTCCATATTCCATCAGATGTAAGATTCGTAATTGCACAAATAATAATTTATTTCTTGATTGTTCTCTGGCTTTTTCCTTTCTTTTGTTCGTTAACTGGGGATTCGGTTGATTAGTAAGGCACGTTGCATGCTTAGAGTAGCTGATGGAGTTGGTCACTTGGACTGCAATTTTGGAAATCTGAAGAGAGGTTTTAACCTTGACACGGTCCATTTATGTTTCCCTATACTGTTTCCGGTTTCACATGGCCTCTAGATGGTTAACCTTTTATCTTCAGCGATATATATCTCTTTTCACCATGTCTTTTATGAGTTACTATCTCATATACAAATATACTTAAATCTTTATATTTGATGATTAGGGACATCCTAACATCTGAACCTTTGTAAACAATACCTGTTGAAAATAAGCCATATGCTTGTGTTGCAAGGCAACAGAACCTCTAAGTTCCAACTTTCATCATGTTAAATTCTTTATAGTTCATTTCTGGTTTTGAACTTTATTACTTGGGCATTGAAGTCGATCAAAGTTATCAGTATTGATAGCATATGAAGAGCAAATCCTGAAAATGAAGAGTATGACAAAAAGAATTCCGTTGCCTCTCCAAATATGTATGAAGAGAGCGCGATAATGCTATTAATGTTAGCTGAACTTTAACAAAACTAAACTGTACATTTGCAGGACATACTTCCTATTCTTACCGATCTTCATCATGCTGTAGACATGCAGATGGAACTTGAAACTCTGGTTCAGGAAGGAAACTACTTCCGGGTTGGTTTTTATTTCCCTTATTCTGTGATTTAGATTTTCAATTGCTTGAATATTATTTTCAAAGTTCTCTGTATACACTCTTCCTATGTTTTTCAGGCATTTCAACTGTTACCTGAGTACTTGCAAGTTCTGGAGAGTTATTCCGAACTCTCTGCTGTTCAAGAAATGGGCCGTGGTATAGAGGTGGGTTGTTTCTCCATCCTGGAAATCCACTTCTACTTTCATTTGTTAGAGGACTGCTGCACTCGTTAGTGTCTCCTTTTTGTCTTTACTTCGATTCTGATTTCCTTTGTATTAATCTGAGTACCATTTGTCGCCTTTTCTTTCAGGCTTGGCTAACTAGGACACTTCAAAAGCTTGATTCACTATTATTAGGAGTATGCCAAATGTTCAACAAAGAGAGCTACGTAACTGTCAGTATCCCATCTGTTGGAAATGAATCTCATTGCACTTTTATTTCGCTGTGCTAAAGTGTTTTGTGTCTACTTTAGCTGTTAATATGTAGCATGTTTTCCTGCCTCCAATTTATGTTGATTTATTTATTTGTTTTTTTTCTTTATTCTGATAGTCTAAGGCACCTGAAGCCACAAGTCTTCCATATATTTCGTTTATAATTTTGTTATGGTAAGAAGTACATCTTACATAATACGGGTTTAGAGACTGATTGTAGCAATTCTATTCTGATGAGTGCTAGAGTCATTTTTCTTAATTCAACTACTTTTGCACTTTCAGAAGTGTGGTAGTAGTATGGGGATGGACTCTTACTTTCTAAACTTTTAATTCTTTCTCTTGTTTTCCACAAGTCATCAGTAAGTCCAAAACTTTGAAGACGGGATAGGTTGCCCTCTGTTCATGTAGAACTTGTATTAAAATAAAAACAAAGCTCAACTTTAACACTAATATATGCTTGTTAGTTTCTGATTTTCTCTATCGTTACATTTAACTAGCTGCTAGATATTCAAGCTTCGTATTGATAATATGCTTTACTGATATACTTGAGGGCAGAAAGTACCACCTTAATATCTAGAAATATTTCACATTGTCTGAATATGACATGTTCCATAACATGCTGATATCAGATCAAACATCAAGTTATACATCGTGTAATTTATGTTCCTTGTAAGTTTGAAGATATCTATGAAATAGTGTGAGTCAATTGATTACTCACATTGCTTTGCAATGCTTTAACTCTGTTCATACACCTCGCCTCCATCAAGAGAGCGATGGAGGAAGATTTTAGTAGTTAAATAATGGAGAGAAAATAGTCAAAGAATCATACCAAATCTAGAAAAACATTGGTTGGTAATGCAGAATTTGGGAAATCGGCACGATTAGAAGGCATTAAAAAAATTGCAGAAGTTTGCTATGTAAGTATGTGGCATAACATCAACATTCTACCTTAGCAAATACTTTCATGAGATTATTAGCATAATCATTATTAATTGGTTGTGCCCTGACAAAATGAATCTTGACAACGGTAAATGTTTATTTTGCATTTTTGCATTCACATCAACAAAATAATTCTTATTAATGCTTGGACTTGCTCTCAAAAATAAAAATTCTTGCCTCATAAGGTGATCCATGTAGTCGCGCCACACTGGCAAGTATTATTTTTATCGATTATAAATTTTTTCTTATAGTATAATGTGAACTTCAATATATGCTTTCTTTTGTCTGGTTCATATTTCTTGTTACAACTGTTGAAATCGTGATATTTTGTAGGCAGTTGATGCTTATGCCTTAGTAGGAGATGTAGCCGGTCTGGCCGAGAAAATTCAGAGCTTCTTTATGCAGGAAGTTCTATCCGAAACTCATTCTGTATTGAAGGATATCGTCCAAGAGGTATATTATTCTAGTTTCATTCTCTCTCAAATTCAATTTAAATAATGTTTAAATAATGCAGCAACATTTGCTTGTAATTTTGTGTGTACAGACCTCTACTTTAGGATAGTCAGGATATGCTATTGAGTTAGTATGAATTATGTGTTTTATCTTACCCTTATTGTAATGAAGTTTACTGTGGCCTCTTGCCATTTGTATTTACATGCCATATTCTTACTTGTTTAAGTATTTAAATAAAACTATTAAATATGAAAAGGTATTAAGGATAAACTATTGAAAGATATTTGCTTTTGATCGTATCTCAGTGTGCCAGTAGATATCTAGCGATTACTTCTGAGATTTTCTTATCTGTAAAATTTTGATGCTTAATTTTAAGATTTTCAGAACCATTTTCAGGTTTTATCCGGTGTAAAACCCTTGTATTGAATTTGGAGACCTGAGATTTCGACAATTGTTACAACTGTCATCTAGAAAATCTATAGCTGCCTTGAAATTCGAGAAACAATTTTGCAAGTTAGAATGAATCCATAAAATTTTAAATAGGAATGTTGAAAAAGGAGATCAATAAGGTTTGTAATATATAGAAGTTTTTTAATGTAGTGAATATGCTGGCTTCATCTTTGTTTACTATTTTTTATTGTTACGTATAGTTTAAATTTGATTATCTGGCTGCTTGATGGAAATGTTTAGGCTAGATAAGTTACATTTTTAAAAGCTTGTAAGGAAAACATGCATTTTCCTTTATGTATGTTAGACACCTTTGAAGAGTTAGAAAAAGTTAATAATATGATATAAGAGCTAGTGACTTTATTACTGCAGCCTCAATGCTCAAATAGGTTGCATCTGATATTTTGAACGGGAGTATAGCTTTCTACAAGGATAAAAGAGCGTTTTTATGGAGTTTAGAGTAGTATTAGTATAGATAGCATCACAAAATCTTCATTATGTCTGTGTTACAGTTTGTTCAATTGTTCAGTTCAGAAGTATGACATTGAAACATGAGCAATTTATCAGTCATACCTTTCTATGTTCATATCATATTGCTATTCTTTTTTTCTTTGGCTAGTTTTATTAAATCTTGCTGAAGTTTATATGTGAAATAGTTTCTTCCCCACTTTTCTAGCCTAAATATAAATTATTTGGCAGGAAATTGGAAACAATGCACAGAGAAACAGGTGTGCTTTTTATGCTAAGTATACTTTCATATGTTGTTTTCCTAATAGTTGCAGAACATCCAATGTATGAAAAATTTTCATTTCAAATACTATATTCTTTGCTGAGAAACATTCATTTTTTCCCCATTTCTAAGTATTCTTCTGTCTTGAGAACTACTTCCAAGGAGTAAAGTTTTGATTGTGCATAATATTTTCTGATTACGTTATCAGGCTCCAAGTTCAGAGCTACCTGGATGACGCAGTTTCTTAGTTAAAAGGATGGGTTTACAGAAATAACTGAAATTTTTGACACAGAGGCATAATGTGAATAAGATGTGTGTGCGTTTATGGATTTTTTGATGAATCTTGTTTCAACTATAGGAATGTACCACCACTGATGTGCCACCTGATATTTCAAAAGAGTATATTTATGGGATATCTTGTTTCCTGTCTATCTGAGAGCACCTCTTGAGACGAGGGCATGCGAAGGTTTAAATTTAGGGAGTGTTCAGTTCATGCAGTTTCAGTTGCAAAAGGCAGTTGTAGTTGCAGTTTAAGTGTTTGCTTCTCCACCACTGTACTTCCTTTTGCTACTGCAATTGCAAAAAGGAACTACCTCTTCTTTTGTGAAAATGATTCTCGTCCATTTGGCTTCAAGTTGGTTTTTGAAAAAATGGTTTCTTTGTTGCAACTACAGTTACAACAAGCTTGAATTTGCTGTGATATAAATAGCTGCAACTTCAGCTGCATCTACTTTTACTATTATATGAATTGAATAGTTTATTTGGTATGTTGCATTTTGCTGCACCTATTCTTTCCCAGATGTCATGCTGAAAGGATTTAGACTATTGAACATGGCCACTTTAGATTTTCAGTGCACTCTACAGGAAGAAATTTGAAATTTTTTGGTTGCATTATCTTCAACTTCTTGGAACATTCAGATACTTCAGAACATAGTCTCAACTTTTAATAATGTTTTCCTCAGTAGTATTGAACTAAATTTTTTTGGGTATAATTGAAGGAAAGTTTTGTATTACAAAGAGTCATTACCTGTAGTTGGGTTGAACTTTTGCGTATGATAATTGAAAAAGAGAAAATGAAATATATGATATTTTGATGAAAGAGGTCTAGAAGGTGTTCTCCAAATACTTCATCCGAGACTCTAGGGCAGTACTGCAATGTTGATCAATTAATCTGGGTTGTTGCTTCATATACTTGCAGTTGGGTTGATTGTAGTCTACTATTGATGACTTATGTGTCTCAGGATTGTTCTTGATAGAAACCAAAGGTGAGCTAACCATTTTCTGGATGAAGTCAGGGTATTTCCTGGAGAAGCTAGTTGGATATTTCAGGATCCGGGCTCCATGAATGCCAGTTGAAATAGGAACTATGCAAATTTCCAGCTGGTTGGATCATACCATGGTTCTCTTGTCCTTTATAAACTATCAACATTTCATTCCATTATTTTATTCAGATATGAAGTCCCTGAACTTATACCACTTATATTGAACTGCATAGAACCTTAAGAACAACAAACAGAATTAGGAATCTAACAGTTAAGCTTAATATACTGACTGCTCTGAGAAACTTTTACACTGATGCTCTATAGAGGTAAGCTCCTATGTATAAGGAGCTAATCTTTATATAGTACTAATCTAATAAAATTTTAACCTCTAATCGATTTGATTGCTTATAATAGTTGACATGTCACACACTTCGCCATCCCTCCATGGCATCATTATGCATATGTTGATAGATCATGTGCTTAATTACAAGCATTTATTATACTCCAAATACCCACCCAAACATTTAAGAAGTTGGTCAATTTGATATATACAAGTAAAGTATGAAGAACATAGATGTGATTCTCAATAGTTGCTATTCTTACATTATAGTCCTACACTCCTGGCATACTTTACAATTTAGTAATGAATTTCTACATAGTACATAGTATTATGAACATACTGGGAGTTCACTGATCACTACATTTGGTCTCGTTTGTTTTTTCACAGGCTTACATACAGCGATCTCTGCTCCTTGATACCTGAATCCAAGTTTAGGCAGTGCTTGTTGAATACTCTGGATGCATTATTTAGGCTAATGTGTTCATATTATGCAATCATGAGCTTTCAGCCAGAGGAAAGGGTAAAATAACATTTTTCTTTCTTTTGCCTGAGATATTGCCTTCTAGATTCTAAAAGGAATTTGTATTTTGTAAGTCTTTTTATCATATGTTTCATAACTTTAAACTTTGACATTCTTCTCCTTTATATTGCTAAGGGTGATGTTTTGGAAATTGGGTGTAAAAAACAGACACTAAATTTTTTATTGTGCAGAAGATAGCTTTCAAATGTTTGTCTTTTGAACTATTTTTTGATCCAAACAATGTAAATTAAGGGCTAGGAGTCCGGAATAATTTAACAATATTACTAGACATGGCCCTCATTTATGTAACTGAAATTTCATAACCGTTAGGGAAACAGTTCTGAGCAATGACTGATTGAGGATTTTTGAAGATGGTGTCGCTATATAATTAATTATAAAAATTTACAATAGTCGACGATGAGTATTCATATTCTGCAAAAAGTAGATGGTCACGTCATTAGTAATGCTGCGGCTGCTGCCAAATACATTCTCAATTAGTGGCTACACAGTTACTCGGAAGACCTAAGATTTTTAGTGGGGTCACGTGAGATTTTTAATGGTGGGTTTTTATTTGGTGTTAGTTTTTAAGATGGGTGTGTACATAGTATGTGGAGCAAAGTGGTGTCACTTGACACCACTTTTCTCCATGTAGATCTGCCCCCGGTTCTGGCATTCATATTGTTTCCTCGCAAAAGTTACAATCCTCTTTACGGTTCAAAGGACTTTCCAAGATACATAAACCACCATTAAATGGAAATTTACTATTCTGGATCCATAATACATATTTATGCATACTTATTACCTCATGTTGTGTACTTTCCTTTTGTTATTTTGTGCTATTTAGTCCTATCTATATGCATTTGATATATAGCCTTTGCAAGAGTTACTCTCTCATGCTAAGGAACACATCCTGATCTGTTAGAAGCGGTGTTGTTTTAGTGTTCACTTCTCACATTCCCTCAAAAGTCTCATGCTATTACAAGTCTCTGAATCATCCTTCACCAATATTGGGTCTCTGATGCACCACAAGGATCACACAGTGCTTACATTGATAACATAAAATAGACAGATATTGGGGTCTTTCTGAGTGAGGTTATGGCGGGCGCCTAAGTGGATCGTAGGCATTTTTAGCACCGAGAAAGGAAGGAATTTCTTGTTCTTCACAGATTCAAAATCCTATCCTCACCATTTTATCTGAGATGAACTTGGGTCAGGTTCTGATTTGATCTATTTTTACAAGATCTGTTCTCTTCACCCATTGTTATGCTTAAGCAGGCAATAAACCACGCGGTGGGTTCATGTAACCTGTCCGTGTTCCCCTACGTTCTCTCAAGAATTAAGCGGATGGCCTAGGTACCGCACAGCCTAGGCGGGCACCAAGACAGGTGTCCAGACTGCTATTTAACAATGATTATATTTTGTTTGACAGGTTGTCATGAGTTGGAGTACTCATCTTTTGGGAGTCACTTTCTCTTTTGCCAGTTTTATTTTCTTTGCTACTTGCTTAGGCCTACATTGAGAACTATCATCTAATTTCTTTGCTTGCTGTATCATGTTCTTGAGTTATGAGTTCTTTGTATCAGGAACATTCTTTTCCTGCCTTAAATGGTAACTTTTTCATGTTCTTTTTCATTTGCTTTTGTGCTTGTCCCCTTTTTAACTCGAGCTGTTGCATAAAGGATAAAGGATGATAAATTTTGCATCAATTATTCTACATATTTACTTGTTGCTACCAAAAAAAAAAAGATTCATTAGGCTTCAACAGTTTGGGCTAAAAAAGCTTTGTTGTTGTTGTTACATAACTATAATACAGCATATAGCAATTCTTGAATGGTTTTTGCATCTTCTTGCTGTCTGAGCCAGACCTGATTGGGTTTTTGTACCTCTTTGTTGCAGGGTTCAGAATATCAAATCTCAAACATTGAGTTGAGTAGTAGTAATGGATCTCAATGTGGGGGAGATGGTCTTCTATCTGATTCGGGGGTTTCAAGAGATCCAGGTGATTTGTTTGAACCAGTCATTGAAGTAAAAGGTCTGTCTCCGGAGGAGAATGCTGATGCCTCCTGTGCCTCATTGGGTGGTGATATAACAGGACATGGATCCACATCCCCAAGTACATCTTCTGTTTCCGTGGATGATGTTCATATTTCTTTGTCAAGCAGTGAATCTCCTTTTTATCAGCTAAGGAAAGATGCCGCTGCATTTGTTTCTCAAACTCTGGAAAGAGGACGGAGAAACTTATGGCAACTAATAACAAGTCGTGTATCTGTATTGCTCTCTTGTTCTGCTGTTAGCTCAAGCAGCACATTCCAGTTTCTGAAAAACTATGAAGATCTTAATATATTTATTTTGGCTGGTGAAGCATTCTGTGGGCTTGAAGCTACTGAGTTCAGGCGGAGACTAAGGAGTGTTTCTGAAAATTACATGGCAGCATTCCACAAGCAGAATGTTTATGTACGTATATTAGTTACTTATCCTTGCAGTTAAACTCTTTTGATTTCACCCCTAACCATTTTAACTTTGTTCTTCATTGTCGTTGAGTTACTTATTTACCTTATATCTGATGTTGTGACATCTGCTTATTATGGTTATTATTATTATCATTTTTAATTTAGTTCAAGTAACATAAGTCTTCACTATTTTTCTTGCATTTTCTGATGGGTGCTCTGCTGTTTATTTCTCTTTTTTGCTCAGTTTCTTTTTTTAAACCCTTTCTGAATAATATCTTCTGCAGAAATGCAGCACATTCCATATCAAAGTTAAGGAGATGCTACAAGTGTTCATATTTTGTGACGCACGCATATGCTTGTGCTTTGTTATTTGTTTTGTTATTGTTATTTACATATGCCATCTATAATTTTCTGTAGAGTTACATTTATAAAGTTGGATTCCTTAGCAGCTGTACATTATATGTCTACACACTCAATATTGAAGGCAAGAGTTTTGTTTCTGTTACTTTTTCGGCATATTTCCCTTTGATTCAGGTGTGTGCACTTTTATGAGTAATGCCTTAAACAGTTCTTTTTCCCCTTCATCAATATCTGCACATGCTCGACTGCATAAGAATATCCAAAGACGATATATGTTTTAACTTTAAACATCTCATTAGCTAAATATGATTTCTCTGTATTACCTCTTTATCTATCCCTGCCTAATCTAGGGGGTTTTGAAGTTTTCTTCTTATGGCCTGAATCAAATGGTGGTTTGCAGAATCATTGCCCCTTCACCTAGAATTGGCATAGCATGTTGTGGTGTGGGCTACCCAAAATTGGTCCTATTTACTATACATGAAATGCATATTTATATTTCTTTCACACAGCAGGAGATCTAAATTCTATGACTTTAAATTCTTTTCTTAGGCACTCAAAATGGTACTGGAGAAGGAGAGCTGGGTTAAGATTTCTGGAGACACACACCAAGTAATTAGTCTGGCCGGTCTTATTGGTGATGGTGCCCCCCTAATTGTGTCCTCTGCAACCAATACTTCCACGTTGTCATTGCTTCGCTCCAAAAAAATATCAGAGAAGGTCGACACTGGGAGGCAGAACAATGGATTTTCTTATTGGCTAAGAATTAGTAATCCATTTTCATCAAAGCTGACAAGTGGCTCTTATGAATCATTAAATGCTCAAATATTGGTCAATGGGTCACCAACATCAGGGCTGGCTGATGCAAATGACGATACCTCGCATTGTGATAGAATTTCTGAAAAAAGCCACTCTCAAGGTCATGCTAATGGTAATAGCTCTGCTGTGGAAGATGAAAATGAGGATCTTCTAGCTGACTTTATTGATGAGGATAGTCAGCTGCCCAGTCGAATATCCAAACCTATGCATGCAAAAAACAGTACTGCCAACTGGAATGATGAGGAGGTTTCTTCTCAAACAGGGTCCTCCATTTGCCTATTGAGGTAAATTGTTGATTCCTTAAATAACTTGTTTACTGTTTCACATATACAATTCTATAAGTTAAAGTATAAATGCACCAGGTTGATGGACAAATATGCCAGGCTCATGCAGAAACTAGAGATAGTTAATGTTGAGTTTTTTAAGGTAAGCCAAGCTACTGAACTCATTCAAACTTCTCTTGAAAACCTGTTGGATGGGTGGTTATCTGCATTTTGTCTTAGTTTGTTCTTTATTGCAGGGCATCTGCCAGCTGTTTGGGATATTCTACCATTTTGTATTTGAAACTTTTGGTCAGAGGGATACGAGTCAAAGCGGGAAGTTTCCGCCAGATTATCTACCATGTATGGGAAGTTACATTCACATATTTTCTTAATATTTTGTAGGGAATTTGTAAATAATGTTCAAATTGACTAGACTACTGTGAATATTATACATTTCTTGCATACATAATTTTTTTTCTCGTGTTTCCTTCTTGTCTTGTCCAGCTCGCCTCAAAACTGCGTTATCAAAAGTTCTGCAAGATTGTGACCAGTGGATAAGACCTCAAAATCTATCATTTTCTTCCTCCTCGCCTACATCATTAAACACATCTTTCTCCCACATTGACATAATGCCCACTATTCCATCTAGCACAATCATCGGATATGCTCCTAATACTTCATTTGGATTGAAGGTATTGTCTTGCAATCTAATCTTTTTTCCCCCAAATCTAAACAATTCAGTTTTAATGTTATCATCTGGATTCCTTTTCTTGCTTCCTAAATTTTCATCTGATTGATTTGCTATTCTGAAGTTGTTGCATGGTAGGAATAACATACAGATAGATCTATGTACCCATCTGTCTCAGTGTTCAGTTTCTGGCATCAAACACATAAATAGTTCAAAATTGAAGCAGGAGAGGTGTGTATTTATCTAGTGAACCTTCAATATTTCTAAAGATAATATTCATCACATGAGATTTTCATAGTCACTTGTCTGCGTACATTAAAAATTCAGGGCAATTTTTGTTTTGAGAATAGTTTTAATTTTCTTAATAACCATTGTTCAGAAGCAACGGCTGTCTTTTTTTATTAGAACTATCTGGAAATGTGCATGTAGAAACAAATAGCTCAAGTTAGGTGAGAAAGTATAGCTATCGTGAAAATAATAAAACAGTGATTATAAAAGTCTTTTCAAGGATGTGAATTATTAGAAAATTTACAGGTCGTGATGATTTTTGACTTACGAGAATTAGACAGCTAATGATTTTAATTGGTAGATAACTTCATTGGCCATGTAGCGTGGCTTAAAGATGAGAAAGCTCCATGAAGACTTCAGTATGTTCTGTGATCAGCTGCCAACTTGAAAGTATGGACCAAAAGAAGCTTGACGCACCTCCATAGCTTGGTAGGAAACCCTTTGGTCATGCAGTTTAGGCTCAGTTTATGAAATACATCCTTTCCTGTTCAAGAGTTTGCTTCGTCTATATACGCATTCTATTTCACGATTATCGATTTCATTATCACTATGTCCATGTAATGTCATGTACATAAACATATTACCATGCATCCACATTTTCTTTCATGATTTATCAAATTCATTAATCCATGATTTCTGCATGGTCAAAGGTGTTTTGCACATCTTATAAGGTGTATCTATCATGAGGATTATTAACTTGCATTGCTTTTCACGGCTATATAATGATTTTATGATATGATTGAGCTCAATGACGCTTGCAATGTTTCTTTCACTATTTAC